CTTGTCAATGCCTACCATCATGGGGGTTTGAGCTCGTGACATGGGGGTCTGAGCTCGGGATAATCTGGCTCGGTCGCCATCGGCATAAATCGACTCGAGAAACGTAGTTGCGGACCAGATCTGGGCCTCTGTAGGATCAGATGCTTGAAGGGTGGAGAGGAGGTTGGTGTCTGTGGGCAGATCTGGGTGGTGCGGTCGACGTATATGTTCGCCGATTGATCTAAAAAGGACATCGAGAGTCATCTGTGTGAGGCCTCGTTGAGACTTGGATCCTAGGATTGTGTGGCTCTACCTCCACGTCAGTGGTTACCCCGAGGTGTGCTCGAGTCAAGGTCTTTTACCTTCCCACTGCCTGTAACTCCCAATGTAGCCACAAGTCCATCCCTCCCGGTCTGCAGCACGCTCTTGATTGTGTCCGCGACGCCCGTCTCATCGAATATGTCTAATTGTGTTGCCTCTTCTTGAAAAACCTTCGTAAACCCGAATCTCTCGATTGCTCGCTTTCTCGAGTCGTTGGGAGGTTGTAGCGTGATATGGCTAGAGAAGTTATTGCCAGGATTTTCATCCTGCTCAGCTGGCGAGTTCGGCGGTTCCACGATGAGCCATGGTTCAGACTTTTGCTTTAACTGCGGAACTTGGAAGGGCGGGCGAAGTCGCAGATAGACCTGGAACAGCGAGGTTTGGGATGGCATCTTGACCGCGTTATCCATGATGCAGAACAAAGATCAGTGTGAAGGGTTTGGGGTTTATTTTCCAGGCCAGCTTGACGGCCGGTGAAGTTTATCATCGATCCTGATACAAAATGACTTCGAGGTTACCGTCCATCTCTTGGCGCTGTTGTAGCCCACCCTTTTCGGAAGGACGGACTGTTGCTACGGCAGCGGGCACGGTGGGGAATGGAAGTAATCCTTCTGCGAATCGGAGGCCATCGGGACCGCCAGCCCTCGCCGATCCTCGAGGAACATTAGTTCTAAAGATGCATCTACATATGAGAGGGTTTTGCAGCTTCATATCTCAATTCAATCCTTGTTTGTGCTCCTTACAACGTGCCTGCAGTGTGCACTTCAATTTCTATGTTTGTTTCGCTTGGCGCGTGGGGAGTCAAGCTCCTCCGTTTGCTCTTTGTCACCCTCCACGCCTGGACCTTGTGGCGGGTGATCATATATTTTCGACCGAGTACTGGGTATCTTTCCTTGGATCGAGCGTCTGAGTTTCGAGATCATCCAAGTCCTGACCTGGATTGGCCGTCTTCCTGTCAAAGAATTCTAGGAGGTGACAGAATGCGGCAGCAACCAATGATCCCAAAAGAGGTCCAACCTAGTAGATCCAGTGGTATCCTGGAAACGAGTAGTTGATGACGGTAGAGCCAAAGGCTCGCTCTGTTACTCGCATCCGTGAAATCAACGCCTCGAGGAGTATTAGCTGGGAAGCGCGTCGTCGGCTATTTCCAGACCGTGACGTAATGCTCAAATGGCCAACAAAAAGTGCCATGCCGATACTGGGGGGAAAGAAATGTAGCTTTGTGCTTCACCGCGGCAAGCATAATGACAGCGAGGACTAAGAGGATAGTGGTTAACATCTCACTGTGGTTGGCCCGGGCAGAGCAGAGTCGCCCTGAGGGACGATATCAGCAACTTTTTCAGTGGAGAAGGCACAGAAAAGAAACAGAAATGTCCCTGCGAATTCCGGTAGCGACAATGTCATTGCGAATTCGATCTGGCATTTGGTGTCCTGTTAGATGTAGGAAGTCCATTATTACGCCAGTGTTGGGGAAGCCATAGCGGTCTTTGCCCCTGGAGAAGGTATGAGAAGCTACTGTAATGATGTTTGAAGCAGTAAGGTAGAATGATAAATTCTTCAGAGGGCGATTGAGAGATTCTGGAAGCCTTACTTCTCTTATGTGGCGAATAGAGATAGATTCATAACGCTCACCGGGTGCCATTATTGTAAAGCAGACCTACCTGCATTTCAGGAACTCTCTCATGTCGGACGGCTGTGTCAAAGTCTTTGAATAGTTGTGATATTGGAAAGGACGCCGCCGCCGCCGCATCAGGTAACAAGGTCGTATCTGAAGTCGAGGGAAGGAGTTCAGTTTCGAGTTCTTATACAACCCGTTGTAGGTGGTGTAGTTTTGCCTTCGCTTGAACCATTTGAATCTGTTTATCTTCAGTTGCGGGTGAAGTTTGGAAGCCATGGAAAGACTTGCTCACACCACAAGCAATCTGTGTTTGTGAGCGTAGAAACTCAGGGTAGCAGAGGCAACCTCAAGATGCGAGGAATCTCATCATGGATGCTTGACATAGTTTGCTGGCTTTGATCCTTTGGGATCTTCAACGGAGGAGTCGCAATCCATGTGGCATGCATTCGCTTGTTGTCTCTAGTCGTAGCATATCTCAGCCCATGGTGTGCCGCCAAGTCAGAATCCCGTGGCCATCTGTCACTGAATGGGATTTGCAAGCTCAAGAAATGCGTCTTGTTCCCATCTACGCAGTTCTGTTGGAGGTGGCTCGACCGGACACTACCGTAGACACAGGTAACTCCTCTAAACAAGGTACGAGGTACCATACGGAGTATCTTGATGCTGCCAAGCACGAAGAAGCAGCAAGCAACGGATTTTATCTTGGGCGCTCAGCGACAATCCTACATACAATCTCCTCGAGCACAAACAGATGGTAACGGACAAGCTGGAAATATGCCGACTTCCTTAACTTCGTGTGTCAAACATGTGCAGTGTCACGAAACATATCAAAGAATATTCCTTGATAACCAATAACCCTTGGTACCACAACCTATGAGAGCAATCAGCAAGGCTCGGGATCGGATTGAGGGCGTAGAGGTCGATGGAATTGAAAGCAAGACAAGAGCCAGTTTGGAACAGTGACAGATGCTGAACCGAGGCAGGAAACCAGAGTTTGCGTCATCAGCCAAGATGCTGAGCTGTTGCTTCGGCTTAGCGAGAAGTTAGATGCCGACAATGACCAACATCCCCAAGGAATTGGTCAGCTCCCCTCCTCACTACCCACCTAACCTAACTACCTCAGCCCATACATGACCTAAGCACAAAGGGTTCTTGAGCACATGCACCACATGTGCGTCTTGAGATTCGACTGTGTCCACCAAATCGGTTTGCTCGCGGTCTCGGTTCCCGACCAGATCGACCGGTCCAGCTAATCCTCTTGATCCTAATCGCCAGCGAAGGGCCGAACCCGAGTACATGACTAACCCTCACTCCTATGACCCTCCTTGACGCCTGGAAACGGCAAAGACGTACTTACCCAATGTAACACAGTGCTTGAAACCAGTAGTCCTATTGAAAGAACAGAAATTTGCGTGAAAATCTTTCGATGGCTTTGGCTATATAAAGGGGAGCTTCAAATCTTCAGGCAACACTGACTCTTTTTGTCTCAAAGATCGCAGACGTCACCTCAACCCGTTTCAGGTTCCCTCGAAAGTCTATTTCTCTCATCTGAGCAAAAACATCACACTCAAGCTCGTCGACCCTAAAGTGGCTTTCGGAAACATCGTCAAGATGGCCCAGAAAATTATCACTGTCTTCGGAGCTACGGGCAACCAGGGAGGCAGCACAGCCTCAGCCATCTTCAACAACCCCAGTTTGGCCTCCAAGTACAAAGTCCGTGCCATCACTCGCGACACATCCAAGCCAGCAGCGCAAGCTCTTGCCTCGAAAGGGGCTGAATTAGCCAAAGCCGACATCAACGATGTCGAAAGCGTGAAAGCTGCGGTTGCGGGCTCATATGGCGTTTTCGCCGTCACAAACTATTGGGAGACGGCATCCAAAGAGGCCGAGATTAGGCAGGGAAAGAACATTGTTGATGCATGCAAGGCAGCAGGTGTCCAGCACTTGGTCTGGTCGACCTTACCACATGTGACCAAGCTGACCCACGGCGAACTGACCAAGGTCGAGCATTTTGAATCCAAGGCCGAAGTGGCCGAGTATGCAGAGCAGGTCAAGGGTGACATGATTGTTTCGTACTACATGCCGGGATACTTCATGTCCAACCTCAAAACTCAAATCAAGCCGGATGAACAGACTGGTGCGATCACGCTCAGCCTCCCATGGAATCCCCAGAACACCTGGGTGCCTTTGATTGATATTCAGAATGACACGGGTTTGTTCACGGTGGGCCTTCTCGAAGCTGGGTCGGCAGCCAATGGAGTTTACGTCCAAGGCGTCGACGAGTGGATGCACCCCCAGGAAATCGTCGACACGCTATCAAAGATCAAGGGCAAAGAAATCAAATTCGTCGAGCAGCCTGCCAGTGTCGAGTCCGCTGCAAAACTTGGCAACAAGATCGCGGAGGAGTTAGCTCAAAATATGATGCTGATCCGGGACTGGAGCTACTACGGCAAAGGATCCGAGAAGAATCAGGCCGAGAGTGACAAGTTCTTGCCACCGGGCTCGAAGAAGGCTTCTTGGAAGGAATTTGCCGGGCAGGTCAAGTGGCCTTTCTAGGCTCAATACGATGGTGCTAGTGCGCCACGAAGATGGGTTGTCTGGCCTAACTTAAGGCAGATGGCCGATTGCATGAACCAAGGATTGCATGGAGGAAAATGACACAGGGTTCAAGGGACTTTACGGGCCGGAAAAGGGCATGTCGGGAGAATACCATAATCATTGATCATGTCGCTCTGTTCTCTCGTTGTCTCATTGTCCCCGTTTTCCCTCCGCACCTGCTGATGCGATTGTACACTCGAACGTCCTTATAAAACCTTGAACAGAGCCAGCAACGGTACGACATCGCCTAATCCAGGCTGAGACTCAAGCTCCCTCTGACACGGGGTTGAGCCGACCAAGACATGCCCCCAATGCTCGATCAACCTCCCATCCAGCACACGGATAAAGTCCATGACACGAAATTCAAGGGCCTGGTTCGATGTTGACTGGCCAAACAACTCGCCCACCAGCTTTCAGCAGATGATTTTGTTAGTAGCCACGACTTCGCCGGTGCAGACACAGTGAATAATGTCCACTTTGATACCTAAGAGAGCTTTGTGAAGGTTGCACATGATGATGTGTACGCCTTCGCGATCTCCAGGGCGGCCAGGCATTTGAGGACCCAGTCCTGGTGGATGAAGTCGTCAATGAGATCGAAGGCACTGTTCTGTTGGACCTCGGTGACCTTGCGGCACACGAGGGCTATGTTCTCCGATGCGGTTGTGGTGCTCATGGTGAACGGTTCTGCTCTGAGAGAGTCTGTCAAGGACGACATGTCGATTGCAAGAGACACACGCTGACAATGCGAGTGACAGTACTCTGTACTCCCTGCTGCAAGAGCAAGGCCCGCCAGGCGCCCTCCTTTACTCACCTTATATACCTACCTACATAGGTATGTTCTCACTCGTGTCGACCGAGCCGTGATGATTTCCTTTGGGCTTCGACTGGGGCTTTTGATACGAATCGTCCTGCCAGGATGCTGTTAGGCAGATTGGAGTGACGACTCGGAAGGATGCTTCACAGTTTTGATATGGTAGGGTGAGCAGAAGGACAATTGTTCTGACGGGCGGTCGTATCGTGTTTTCTATACGGAGTACTCGGTACACGCAGCAGACCCTCCAAAACCTTCCTCGGGAGACCCGGAGATTTTCCGCCTAGCGAGTTGGTTAAGTTCGCGCCTGCGAGATTTAACGAATGAGCATAACCGCACGTGCACTAGCGGCGGTGCCTCGGAGCGCCATCAAAAACTGACGCCCCATAGACCTTTTTGGGTTGGCGGCCCTCCAAAGGTCCCCTGTCACCCGCTAGTGGGCGCCCAGTGATCGCCCAGTGATGCTCCAGGCGGCAGCTAGGGATACCTAGGGCTGCCCAGTGGTGCCAGGAGTCTTGCCAGCCTTCTCCATTTGGATATTTCATCAACACTCATCACAAACGAGACACCACAGAAGACTGGTCACTTCTACAATACCCCTTGATTGGCAGCTGGAGCTATCGCTTCGGCCCTAACACTTCAGCGGCCAATTTGGGCTTGATTTCCTGCCACTCTTTGAATTTACTAAAATGAACAACCCGTCTTGTTCGACATGTGAACGTCAAAGGTCCGCATCCTCAACTCGCACTCCCTTTGCGAGCCCGCTTTCGCACAGCTGTTCACCATGGACCCAAAGACCACTATGACAATAGATGAGAAAGGAGAGTCCAGCCATGTACAGCCACAAGCAGCGACTCACACATCTCAAGCTGGAGATCACAATGTAACGACACAACTATCGAGCAATCTGTCTCCTCAGCACCCGATCACCCCTACATTCTTTGGAGAGCTTGCCGGCACAGGTAAACCCCAGGACACAAGGTCCCATACCCCATTGAAGCTGTTCTGACTGAGTACCTCTAGATGGCCAAGCTTATACGACCTTGCGAAAACGTGTGACAGACGCATACCGTTGGCACACCTACCAGTATTGGTTTGTTGCCGTGCTTTCCAACTCGCTCCTTTTCTTCCAAATCCTCGTTGCGGCTTCACTCACTGTGCTGGGCGCCTTCAACGACAGAAGGGCTCGGACCGCAACCATCTTCCTCGGCGCCACCAACACCGTCATTGCCGGCCTCATGACCTATTTCAAGAGCCGCAACCAGCCGAATCGCGCCCGACAATTTCGCAACGACCTCGCGAAGATCGTAGACCAACTCGACGATGCAGAAGCGAATTTCCGCAATCCGAATCGCCATGACGACGTGTATGCGGTCATGGAACAAATCAGGGAAGCGTACAACCAAGCCAGAACCGATGCCGAAGTTAACTACCCAGATCTGTGGGTCAGAGGCTCTACCCCTTACAATCCGAATCCTACGCCAGGACCGTCGACGGATCCGCCATCGAGAATTCCTCCACGTCCGGGGGCACAGTTACCGGTGCAAGGAACAGCAGGCCGTCCTGGGTCGGAGCTAACCCCGGGGAGACCAACGTCAGAGTCAACGGTTAGAGCAGTCTGAGTTTCACCGGAGGCACTATGAATTGTCTGGATACGAAGCCATCAGTGGAGCGAGGGCTATTGGAATGACAAGTCGCGTGTAATACGTGGCTTCCTTTCCTCCAAGAACATCGTTCAAGAAAGATCTATTAGTCCCCTCGACCAATCCACTCCGCGGCTCTCTCGGCCGTCGCATAGACCACCGCCTGAGGATGACATGCCATGGGGACCGGGAAGACACTGGCATCGACCACCCTCAAGCACCTGACACCTATCACACGACAATGACTGTCCACAACTTTCCCCATCGCACAACTGCCCATCGGATGATGGAATGTATATCCAAGGTCGGCAATGCGCTTATCAAGCTCCTCGTCCGTCGTATCCTTGGTGATACACGCGTATCCCTCCGGGGGAACTTCATGCGAGACGAAGGACCTCCCGGCCTCGGTTTCAAGATGGACGGACGCTGCTTTCCGAAGTGCCTGACGGAAACCAACCTTGTCGGCTTCGGTATCAAAGAAATTCACATCAATGACCGGGGGATCCTCGATGCTAGCCGATTGCAGGGTGACGGATCCCTTGGATGTGGGCGTGAGATAGCAAGCGATGGTGGTAATGTAGCTCCCGTCCATTGGAGTGTCAATGCCCGTGAACCCCTTTCCCATGCCCGCGTACAGCGTCACAATCTCCATATGCGAAGCGTCCGGCCGGAGCACCAGATCTCTGTCTTCCTGACTCTTGATCAGAGGTTCCAGCTTTGACAGTTCCTCCAAAGGCCCGAACTCCATAAAATCCATCGGCCAGCCGGAGAAATAGGAAGGGTCAGTGAACAGCGGCGATCCGATGGCCAGACCTTTTTCCGGATGCTTCAGTTTCCAGGCCATCCCCAATGCGAAGTGATCTTTGAGGCTTTTCCCCACCTCGGGGTTCGCAGCGATGATTTCGATTCCGTGTTTTGTCAATTCAGCAGGGTCGCCTACCCCGGAAAGCATGAGGACTTGGGGGGTATGATACGTCCCGGTGCAGACAATTACCTCCTTGTTCGCCACGACATGTTCACCGCCGACAAGGTCGACACCGTTGGCAACGGGCTGGTCCTGTCCTTGTCCTTCGACTTTGGCGAAAGTGACGCGCTGCACCGTACTCTCAGTGCGAATATCCACCTTTGCCAAATCCAGGATCTTGTTCGGCAGCTGTCTGGCGCTGTTGACCCAGGCCTCGACGAATTCGATCAGTCCATTCTGATCCCCCGCATTCCCGTCAGGGATATACTTGACTCCGACTTCCTCCCACATCTTCTGCACAGACTCCCTGAGGGGATACTTTCTCGCTGGCCACAGCGATCGAATTGGTGTGATTTTCAAGGGGCCGTCGTATCCATGCTGGGTCTCATCCTTTTCCATCCCCTCCACTAAAGCCATGCTTTCGACTCTCCTCAGATAGGGCACCAACGCATCATATCCCCAGCTCTCGTCGCCCACCAACTTGGCCCACAGGTCATAGTCGCTTTTCGGTCCCCTGGTCCACGCACCACCGTTGATCGCCGCACTCCCACCTAATGCTTTGCCGACTGGCACAATCGCGCTACGTCCATTGAGGTGCCGATTGGGCGAGATCGGGAGCTGATACGAGTGTGGAGATGTCCAGGCTTGATGCGCGCCTTGGCTCGTGAGGATGTAGTCGGTTGTAGAAGGGTCCACGCCCGCTTCGAGAACGAGCACCTCCTTGGTGTCTGACGGCGGAAGGAGTTTGGAGAGACGAGACGCCAGGACGAGCCCGGCAAGGCCGCCTCCGACGATGATATAGTCGTATGAAGACGAGGTCATGTTTGCGCTCTCTTGTTTGTCACGATGCTGTCGACGATGACGACGGTGATGATGGTGGTGATGATGAGGCGATGACGGTGGAACAGGGACAGGGACCTTACGGACTACCCAGGCGAAGGGCGAGGATATATAGATACGAAGTCTTCCCAGCTCACAAATGCACGAATCGAGCCCCCTTCCTTTCCTCTAACGAAGACCTACTTAAGTGGGATTTGTTCTCCTTTTGATGCACCGCACACCCTCCTCGTCCTCCCTTATCCTCCGTGCGGCGCGGCGTATACGGAGTACAGGGATCAGGACGGAGTTATATCAGCTTACCTCAGGACTTAGTCCTTGCCCAGCCGCTTAACAACCTTAGTTCAATGACGAGAAAGAGCGCATGCCACCAGTGGTAGCGCGTTCATTTTCAACCCCGGGCTTCCTGATTCTTCGGCCTGGCTCTTCTCAGTTGGGTAGCCCGGACGCCTAGTCTATCTACTGTATGTAGGGAGTAGAAAGAAATGGCTTCCTTCCTTCCATCCTTCCATCAACCGGGCTCCGCCACGTTCTATATACGTGCTCCGCACAGGACAGGGCAGACTTAGCTGTGAAGCAGTGGTGTTCTCCAACTGGGGTTTTTGACATGGCATTGCTTGGCACCTACGTGTAAATATCCCAATCGTTCCTCATATTTGTAGCTAAGCACTAGATATTAGATAGCATCTGAGCATCATCGTTCATCACTTCAGATCAGCACTAACTCCGCACGTAGCGGTTCGAGAAATGAAGCCGCTCTTGGCTCGGCTCCCTCCTGCGCCCTAAAAGATGTCCTGGAGATGCCGAAACCTTGGTACATATACTCCACTTCTTTAGTCGAGGCGGATGGACATGGTCTCAAAAGTAACTAGGCCCCGCACTGGTGCCTATGTACCGCAATCAAGAGCTAGGTCGCCCAAGGTTAAGCGTTTCATGTGTATCGACCGAGGACATGCTCATTTCACATGCAACGGTCCTCAGTACATTCAAAGGGTGACAACCATTCGTTTCCTCTCAAAAGCCGTGGCAGGGCGTGTGAAAAGTGGAACGATTTACTCCAAATTGACTATTCTTTCTGCGATCCCAGCTTTAGCGTCAAGAATCGATAGGGACCAGAGCTCATTCCCATCTTGTTTGTTGGTAGGCCACTCAAGTTTGCAACTCACCTCGAATACTCAGGCAATCCCGCTTGTGGCAGACGGATGGTAATGCCACAGCTTCAGACCTCTGATGCCTCGGACGCGTTGCAGAAACTCACTACCCGGGACTCGTGTCTGGAATCAAGTGGCGAGCTAAGCGTAGCTCTGCCTTTGGTGTCTCGCGAGGACCAGATTGCAGGACTACTCGATAGCGACTGTAAGGACCGAAGTCAGGCGTCAGAAAACAGTGGACAACTACATCCTTCGAGCCCGGTCAATCCTGAACAAAGATCTAATTGAGACCTCATCAGGTCCAACGAAGCAGCTGCTGAGGTCTCATCTCCCCCTCCTCCGCCTCCAGGTACATGGGACTCGCCCGTAACTCGCAGCCTAGAGTCATTTGTCGGAGCTCCCGTTTGATGCGCAAGCGCTTGACAGCCTGGATCGGATCGCTGAATTCATGCGAATTTATACTCGTCTGGATGATTTCATAGCTAAAACACCGAACGAGCTGATGTTCTGGTTCTTCCAGCAGCGGAAGGCCTTTCTATCACAGAAAGCAATGACCAGATGGAGCCGTGACAATTTGGACGATTACATTCTTCTGCCCGCCGAAAATGGCTTCGTCGACCGGGAGAAATGCATTTTTGCGAGCCATTTTTGGCCGACGCAAGACCGCCCTGATCCAGACGGCGAATATCCACGTCTTTTTCAGGCAGAGCTTCGGCCACAGCATTGGTCGTACCTCTGGGTAGACTGGACATGCATACCCCAGAGTCCGCGCTGCCAGGCGGAAGAGACATATTTTCCACAATCGCCTGGAACAAATGCCGGGATTTATTCAGATTTGTGCTTTTATCTGGTTTTACCCGCCCTTTGAAGCACGCCTGTGGATTTTGTTTGAAATTGCCGAACTCTTTCTTACGTCCATCGGGGAATATGAAGCAGCCTCGGACGTCTGGGAGTTTAAAGACCACATCCAACAAATGGTGGAGACGAGCGTGCGTTTGTTACAGGACAATTATGGCTACCAGTGTACGCACGACCACGAAAAGGCATTTCTCACTTCTTGGTTCGAAATACTCATCTTTCTGCGAAGACTGTCTGTTGAAATCGAGGATATCAGGCGGCTTATGGATTACCTAACCTGGTAAACGACCGAAGGCATTAAGAGTTAACGCGCCAGGCGCCGTTTTTGAGCTCTGTAAGGTTCAAGGCACCTTCATTCGCAATGGGGAGCGCTACAAATTCACTCCGTTTCCTAAGTGGGTAAGTTTCCCTATCATTAATCATGATACCTTTCCTTTTGTTAAAGGTTATTGAATAGGAAACTAGGAAATATTCGGCGAATCGCCAGCAAAAAAAAAAAAAAAACGTTCTTTAGATCCCTCTTCCCCATGATGTGAGTCCCTAGCACGCTGAATAGCACGACTCATCCGTTGTATAGCAAGTATACCTAGGTACGGCGGAAATTAGATCCACAGCTCGATGAGATCTCCTTTTCAGAGGATAGTAATGATGCCGGGCTGGAAAGAACGATGCCATTTTTCCCAAGGCGACGGCGAACTGCCAGAATGCCCAAAATGGCTGATTTCCAATGCCGGGTCCCCAAGATGGAAACAGAAAGAGCTGCACTCTGTATTCACGTATCTCTTATCAACAACCGATGAAGGAAGACCTCACTCTACCACCCTGGCCCCATCGTGAAAAGTCTGGAAGTTCTAGGTGGCTGGGTAGGACTACAACTAGGCAGCGCGGCCCGGGCGCTGCCTACGGCGCCGAGCCAGGATCCATAAAAATTGAAGATACACAGACAGAACTGACAGCGTGTATTGATGTATATATTATACCCCTCAACGCTGGAAAACAATTCAAAAGCACCGCAAACCCCCACAATCTCGCCCACCTTGATCTGGAGCTAGATCACATATGGTTAAGCGTTAGATGTGCCCAGAGCTAATCGACAGCTCACTTCTCGCACTCCACATACTTATAGCAGAGCGGGTTCACCACCTCAGGGCTCCTCATTGGGCGATTGCATGAAGTACTACTTGTACAAGCCATTGAGAAAATTTATGCGCCCATGCAATCGTCAACTACTTGTTTCGTCAGGGGATCGTACCTTCACTCAGTGTGTCGTCCGCTCGCTCATTAGAGGTGTCCACACCGGGCCATCACACGCTCTGGCCGCGCCTATTCCAAGGCGAAACTTCTCATATGCCCAGGTTACACAGGGGAAGCGATGTACTGAGTACCCGAGTACAGAATGGTCACTTCTTGTTGCACCTGAACAGTCACGTGTGGCGCAGCCTAGACATAGGAAGCAGCGAGGCTGTCAACATGTCTTCAACGGACTCTCCGTGGGTTCAGCACCAGCTTCCCCAGAATTATTGCCGCAGAAGTGGCAATAGACCTGCACCCGCTGGCCTCCAGCCTTACAAACTCTATTCAGAAGGTGGTTGCTATCTTCACTTTCCATAAATGGCTCTGATCACTACGTGATGATGGACCACTGACATAGGCCAGTGCGGATTCTGGATCCACCCAAATCCCTTCCGCGTCGTTGATCCGAGTCATTTTGCACTTGGAATCATGTTCTCACGAAGAAGGAAATCCAGACATTATCGTCGTTGCGAAGTTTGTCCTAACTGGGTCGCTGGCACCGAGATATTCCAACAGCTCGTTCAACAGAATACTGATCAGGCCACACAACTTGGAAATCTACAGGCTCGCAACGCTACGCTGGAAAAAGAACTCAGCAATGCGAATAATCAAGTTGACGCTCTCATCCTACGTCTTGCCAACACTGAAAAAGCGGCCACAAAGAGCCAACATGAACATGAGCGGCTTGCACATGGTGAACAATGCAAAGAGGCGGAAAAGGCGATAGCTGATCTACAGACCGAAAATGAGAAATTCAGGCTAAAATTGAATGCCGAAATGGGAAAGACACTTGAAGTTGACACCAAACTGGAGACAAGGATCACTGACCTTATAAACAAGAATAAATGGCTGGAGCGTCGATGTGAGCACCTTGAGACTGTGATTGCTTGGTTGAAGCAGGTCCTTGAAGGAGACAAGGCTCTATTGATGAGTCAATGTGAGGCCCTTGAAGCTATAATCGGTCAGCCAAAAGATCAAAATGAGGTCCATAAAGAAGACAGTGCTCGGTCGAGAGGTCAAAACAGAGCCCTTGAAGGCGTCAAGGCCGAGCTGAAGGCTAGAATCAGTGAACTTGAAAAGGTACTGAACGAATCTGGTGAGGAGCCCTTAATGGCGCAACAGGAACGCAACAGGCTTCAAGAGACTGCTCGTAACGGCGGGACAACCGAGCCTGCAATTCCTTTTCGGAATATAACACCTCCCACAACACCGCCAAAAACAACTAAGCCCACCATGCCGGGAGATTTTCCGTTGGATGACAACCCACAACCGGATGAGCAGGTCATACCTCAGGAGTCCGCCAAGAAAGATGTCAGAAGATCATCGCCGACTCCACAAATGGAGACTGCGAGCCAAAGGTAAATGTTACCCCTGCACAAGGACCTTTACTAACATCTTATATACAGTTACACACCGAGCCGTCGAAACTATTTCTCGCGATTCTCGTAGGATCTGACAACACGGGGCAAGAGAGGGAGACGAAGACTTCAGCGGCGTATAAACAGCGTGTGTGCAGTCGAGGTATACGCAGAGCCCCATGTTTCAAGCATCGAGTATGACTATTTAATAGCTACCTTCAAGTAAGGTCGCTTCTTACGAGATCCACGTCCAAGTCTTTCTTTGCACTATTTTCCCGAGGAGGGATGCAGGCGTTTCTGTTCATGCATTACTATGTAGTTTCCAATAAACACAAAGTCCACCAGATATGCTGCCTGGATCGCATATATATATATATATATATATTTACATCTGTATGGGCAAGCGGCCCCCGATTCTTGCATTGAGAGTTGTCGCAATCTCGATGTAAACTCTCGAGACTGTATTCTGTAGGTACTCCGTACCAAGTACATCTAGGTCACCCAGTCCAGCAAGGGTGTCCCGAAGCAGGGACAAATGTCCACCCATGGCCGTTCGAACACAAGGCTCCCTAGCGAGTAGGCACAGCACATTCCTAAACAGGATGAGAATCGCGGATAATACCGAGCCTCGGCGAGCATCACGAAGCCCTTTTGGGCTTGTATGCTCGCCACCCCCTCAGACCTCCATGTCCTGTGTCAGGCTGTGCCATTTACCTTTGAATGCGACGCAGCTTGTCCCTGCGGGGGAGGAGGGGGGAACCCGAATGCGTTATTGGTCGCTAATACCCGCGGCTACACAGGTAAACATCGTGTACTTCTCTTGGACAAGCCGCCTGTCGTAGTCGTTTTCGTTCATGCACGAATCCGATTCGGCATTCGTTCTCCTCCGTCTCTGTCTTTTGCGGGGAGGTTGGATTGAGCCCCCGTGTTTCGGTTCCCGGGTCGCTGCCTGGGGAAGGGAACAGGTGCAGGGACAGTGCCGGGTAAGGCCCGATCGTTAAACTGGCTCGTATTAATAACGAGAAAACGAGCGAATGAATGAATGGGCGGTGGAGGGCGGTCGGGATGGAAGCGGGAAAACGAACGAAAAGAGTCGTATTATTGCATTGCCTTGCCGCCCAGAGTGTTATCAACATTTGAACCTGACCAGGAACTCCACAACATCTGTTCTTGCAGTGCCGATGCTATGATGTCCCGCACAGCAGGGGCTTCATGATTAACATCCCTACCGCCTAGATCTGATCGATGCTCTTTTTAATGACTGGTTTCAGCCACATTGACAACATCCCTGTTTGTTCGTGTTGAAATTCAGGCATCTAGCATTTGAGAATTAGCGTGGCTGGAAATAGCCGGCGAAGACTGGTTGAAATTGGTCAGTCGCTTACCCGCCTTCGGTAGCATTCCAAAGCAAGCATCCGTCTCTTGACTTGTAGTTTAGACTATGGAGACATTGTCAGCGCGTTGTCAATTGAAGCACATGCCTCTCGCACAAGGATCTTGCAGTGCCTCCAGGGAAAATCAAGAAGGAACTGTCGGGGTTCCATACCATCCGCTCGTGTTGTCACCGTAATTCAAGCACCCCTCGGCATGATCTCCAACCACCATACACCCTGAGGTTCCCTCACCAAATGTGCAACAGCCTTCCGTCACCTCTTTCTTTTGGCACGAGTCATTTACCCCGGAAGCAGCTTGCTGCTCTTCTGGCTGCGGTTGCGGCTGCGACGCCGCCGGCTGAGGTTCACCCTGCGACCGCGCAGGTTCTTCTCCTTGTAGTCGGTCGTTGCTATGAGCAGAGGAGGAACGAGAAGACTCTTCGTAGGGAGGCGGAGGATCCATGCGCGGGAACGTGCTCGGTGCGCCTCTGTTAGTTGGGGACGCGGGAGACCTAAGTTTCCCCATGGTTGAAGAATGTCGTCGTCGGTAGGACGACACAGAAGAACTTGTGTAGCTCGTTTGTGCGGGGTTAAGAGTAGTCAAGGTCGCAAGCGCAAAGGCCGCGAGCTATTCGACTGTAGGAGAGTCGTAGGACCTGAAAACTGTATAGTTAGTACAGTTCGAGGGCGCGTTCTTGACAGGAATCACGAAACATATATCCTTCGCCATGATCGCGAGCTGAGGCTTCGACGCCTCAACATCAACTGATAGGTATGGCATGATTGGTTGAGGCTACGAATACGATTGGCCGCTTTGGTGTCAGCCTGAGGCTAGGGTCAGTGTGAGCTGAGGCTTGACGAGTTGTGGCTGGAATCCTTTATACTCGATCAGGACCATTTGCCGAGTTGCTCAGAAATTGTGGCAGCCTAATGAGGCGCAGAGGTCAAGCAGGGGTGGTAATTAGAAGAAGAGAAACTCGGTTGCCTGGCTTGTGGAATGTATTTGCGTCCGGAGAAGATGAAGTCACAGCGGTGGCTAAAGACGACAGAAGTACTCCATACCGAGTACCTCGTAAATTAACGGCCAAGTCACGTGGGATCGAGCACAGGGCGGCGTCATGCTCATTCCAAAAGAGGGTTAGCTGACCGTGAATTTCTTAGTCGGTATTACGTAACTTAACCGTTGCCCAGGAAATGTCTTACGGCCGATCGTTCAGCTGCATCGCGCCGTGGTCATTAAATCCGTAAAATCCGTCTCATCGTGTCCAGGCCGCGGTCCCCGCCTTCCTTGTCTTCTTACGACCTACCTCGTACTCCACAGGTAGGCGGTTACCCAGCGAGCCATTTACCATCTTCCCAAGTTCATATTAACATTTGAAACCCTCGGATCTCATGATTCGGTTTGCAGCTCTTCCTGGTATATGGTAAGCCCTTTCGCCCTCTCATCAGGTCGACATCTACCTGGTATACGAAACAGAGTAGCTGCATCTGGCCTTCGTTCAATACTTCCTTGGTCCATATCGAGCTGCTCTGTCAGATGTGGCCTTCTGTCGGCCGTCCACGCACGGCCTGCGGAACATGTCAGACCTTGAAAGTGAGGCACTATGATTGACCTCCCGAATGTGTTCATCATGCCTATATTAACTAACACCGCTCAAAGATACGGTGCACCGGAGAGCGTCCGACATGTAAAAGATGTTCGAGATTGAAACAACCCTGTTCTTACAGCAGCACGGTCATCTCTGCAAGGAAACATCATGTTTTCGTCTCCGCAAACATCAATAAGTCCCCGGCCGCATCTTCCAAGCGGCAGCACCGCGATAGAACCAACGCCGAAAATATGGGAATATCAGACAGAATGCAACACATTTCTGCATCATCAAATCTACCCAACCCTTCCAATATGGACCACTATGACCTGGGAATACCGAAGTCTTTGGTATCGACCCTGGTGGAAGTGTTCTTCGACAACGCATACAACGCTACCCTCGTACTGCACAAAATGCTGTTCTTAGAGTCACTCGAGCGCGGAAGAGCGAATCCCCATGTCGTGCTAAGTATCTGTGCGTGGGCAGCAAAGTAAAGCGAAATTCAGTCGACTTTATCGACAGCTGGCTAATAGAACATCTTCTAGTTTCTACAGAGACCAAAATGGTCAGGCAACTTTGAAGGACCACGGCTTCATGGTTGAATGGGCCAGGAAAGCCGGAAGACTTGTGTTTCAACAACCCGAGGATCTCCACGAGGATAAGATCGTGACGTTGATGACTCTGGGCCTGTTCTGGTATAGTCAAGGTTCCTGGAGAGTCAGCCAATTTTACAAAGGTATAATTTAATACCACCTCTGTCCAGTTGTGGAGTGGCCACTCACTTTTGTAGGAGTGGGCTGTCAGTTGCTCTATGTCATCGGTCTCGAACCAGCCAAGTTGTACGCTGACAACGCGTTCGAAGCTGAAATGCGCCGCCGGCGACTGTGGGCCTGCTATCTGATGCAATGTCAGTCTGCCGACAACCTGTCCTTCTTCGAGCCACTCGTCGATCTGTCAAGCTTGAGTTTGCCGTGGCCGGAAGAAGATTTCGATATTGGCGTTTCCAGACAACCATCAGAATGCCTGGATTCTAGCCGAAGTACGGCGGCTGGTGGTCATAGTCTATATGCTGAGGTGATTAGAGGCCTGACACTCTGGTAATATTTGCTCCCGATGCCCTTTTGGACGGTAACATTAATTCTTGGTAGGTACTCGGTACATTCGCTCATAAAGTGTCGCGAAACGGATATCAGTGAGAGAATAACCAGCTTGCATGCGTTCGACGAAAAATTATCAAGTTGGTGGCAAGAAGTGTCGCCAGACTTCAAATTGACGCCATCAAAAGTTACAGAGATGGCGACCGACGCCCGTTCCTTCCCAAAAATCCTGCTTCTCAACGCCGTATATCACCAATCTCTAGGCGCGCTGCACGCGTCCATTATTCCTCTCTTCTCTTGGAGCCCTGGCGACAGCAGTTGGCTTACCTCTCGACATTGCTCAGCGCAATTGGCATTTGAACACGCCTGCTCATTTTCAGAATTGGTCAAAACAGTCGTTTCGACGTACGCTCGACCTGGTGCGATACCAACCTTTGTTGCATACGCAGCGTATTCCGGGTGTGCTATTCAAATGCCATTCATGTGGTGCTCTAATCCGACAGTGCAAGGCCGTATACGTGCCAATGTCAAGGCGAATATTCAACTTATACAAAGTGTGGCTGTGTACTGGAAGTTCGCCGCGCTGCTTGTATTGACAATCTTACCTCATAAACGCTGGAGCCTATGCTAATGTCTTGCTAGCAAATACATGTTGGTTGTTTGTACGAGATCCACCGAATGCTTCCAAACACTCTCGAAGACGAGCCTAGGTATATTGACATCAGAAAGCTAGTCGACTTCAAGGTCAATGCTTCACATGCTCGTGCTTCTATTCTCGGTTTCATCGACATTTTGCGGCCCAAAGGCGACGGAGTTGTGGATTCAGGAGACGAGACCAAAGATCTCGGAATTGAACAAGCTACTGTCGGGCATGACTTGGCAACAAGGTCATCTATACATGATGATCCCATGTACGACCTGCAGAGCGCTCTAATTCGGCAACAACCCGGTGAAGACAGCCCCGTCGCCCTACCATCAGACTTCCCCCAAACCTGTGAGCACCTACGAGGCTCTGACTCAAACGTCAATCATGTTTCAAGTCATCCGGAGATCAACGTGAATCAGACGCAGCACCAACAGCAGGGAGAGGCATGGCCTCAACACAATCAGGCTGATATTGGATTTGGGCCTCCTTTCCCACCCCAGGGCCAAGGTGTCACAGAGAGGCTGACTTTGGACCCATACTATCCTTTCTTTGACCAAACGATGCTCGATCTCTTCCCAAACGGAGAGATGCCGGATCTTTCCCAGCTGGATACGGAGCTAAGCAATTTGGAATACTTTGATGTTGAACACTGGAACGCCGGTTCAACGGATCCTGGCGAAGAAGGCTGACAAATCTTGCGGCGAGTCACAAGCCTCGTACACGGGTTGATAGATCATGCGCAGACACTATGGCGTATTCCCTCGACACCATTTCGGACGCTGCATGGGCTCTGTCTCCGCAGCAATCCGGCCCCGCTTCCCAAGTTCTGGGAAACGCTGGGGTACGGAATAAGCTAACCCTTTCGTGCAGCGGATTCCCGCATGTTCGAGGCGTCCATGGGTCCTGCAAGGCCAAGCAGCGCCCCTTTCATGGTAATAGTCCTTGCTCACATGACTTGGACGTGGTCTCGACACGCCTCATGGGCGGTTCTATGAGGCGCAATCGCCTACTGGTAGACTCGAATCGCCGCTCACTACTTGAAGTGAAATCTGACCACGATGGTGAATTTTAGCCAGCCATATATCATTTGACCTCTCTCAGATCAACGTGTAATCTATCTTCACATTGTCTACGTTGGAAATCTCCTTGTGCAATTACTTTTCTGCAGTAGATGCAATATAATAGCAGTAGCAATAGTTGCATGGTTAGGCACAAATCGCAGCGGCTGTTGTATTCGGGTCTCAATTTAGATTCACACCTTCACATTCCCACACTTCTTGACCATACAGCGTTTACTAATCGGACTGATCAGGAAGTAATTCTCCATCCTCATCGACGCCGGTGTAGTCGCCTCGGAGAGCTCGAGATGGCGACATTCACGGAAGAACTCTGCCAATCCGTGTCGCAGTTCCATCTGGGCCAAGTGAATGCCCAGACAGATCCGGGTTCCCCCTCCAAAAGGCCCGAACGCGTACTTCTGTGCGCCTTCCAGGGGCTTCAGGTAGAATCGATCGGGGTCGTATCTGTGAAAATTCCACAGGTCAGCCAACTGCAGGGTTGGGGGATTCTTTTTTCCTTCGTTTTCCCAGTGCCGCAACGGCCCTAAAGTAGGTGAACGTAGTTGGGGGGAAAAGAAAGGGGGGAAGGGGTGACTCAAACGTTTCTGGGTCATTGAAGACTGCGGGATCGCGGTGCATCGTATAGCTTTGAGTCGTCAACGTCACCCCAGGCGGAATGTATAGCCCGTTGACTTCGATGCCTTTGGCTGGTGTGGTACGAGGAAGAGCCCCCGGTGCTGATCCGTAAAGCCGCAAGGTCTCGGTGATGACGGCGTTCAAATACGGCAGTTTCTCCAACGCCGTGTCGTTGTAGTCGTCCGGCAGCTGGCTCACCTCTTGTTCCAGCTTCTGCCGCACATCTGGATGTTGGAGGATGGCCCACACTGCATAAGTGAGCGTCACTGCCGTCGTGCCGGACCCGGCCACGATCAGGGCAGAGGCCTGTGAGCCCAGGCTGAAATCGGTCATGGTGGCTCCTTCGGCGCGGCTTGCGTCGATCAGACCCTTGATGATGTTATGTCTGGACAAGGAGACTTTTCCCCTGGCCCGACTTGCGGCTGACAATCCGTAGGTGACCACGTTCTGGAGGGCGGTGTCGCATTTCCTTGTAAAAGCAGGTGCTGCAATGCGCATCATCTTGTACAGCCACGGTACCTCGCCTACCAGCCCGAAGATCATCGACGCTAATTCCAGGTCGTCGATGTAGCTGCTTTTCTTTACTTTATCAGCTTGTCCGTTCGGGGTTCCAGCTTCAAGAGAGGCTCCAATGGGTGGGACAATCGTGGCCAACTTACTTGTCCGGCTTCTAGAAGACGTGAGTCATCCCCGAAAGCCACGTTTGCAATGACATCGGTAGCCATCAAAGTCCACCATTTCATCACGTCGCAGTCTCCTCGGTCCGCTTCCTCTTTCATCTTAGAAACGGCCAGTCGCGCACGGTCTGACACCAAGTCTTGGAAGTTGGCCAAAAGTGATGACCTGCTAAAGGGGCGGGCCAGCAGTCTTCGACGAGCCGCATGCTGCTGGACATCCGTCATGGCGAAAACATTGTCTTCAATTCCTGGCGTAGAGGACTTGTACCAGTCAGATTTGACGAATCCGCTCCCAATGCGATGGACTTCGCGGAAGGCGTCCAGGTCGGACACAACCACCTCGCCTGGCTCAACTCTGACCACGGGGCCGTACTTTTGGTGAAGTTCATGGACATAGAAGATGCGTTGGCCGGTCAATATCTTGTACTTGGTCACGATACCTGTGAACCTTGTGTGCCATGGTCCCGGTACTGCTGAGAGCGGGCCGGAGAACGCTTTTGTGATGACCTACATACATGATTGTGAGCAGGGGCGACATAAAATTGTTCGATTAAAAGATGACATTATCTCACCCATATAGCGAATGATATTACTACGAGTAATGCCAAAGGTACAAGGTATCGAAATGTCCCTGAGGTAGCCCAAATCATGATTGCAGTCGTGTTTGAGGCGTGTCTGAGGGGACACAGGGTCAAAGTATCACGGTCGAGATAGCGACTCGGAGGCGGCAGCGAGGATGCTAAGTCAACAATATCGGAATGATTGATTGATGTTGGAAGCCCGGTTATTGCTCTAGTGCTATATCCTCAGATGTGGGGGATAACGTACCCCATGGCACCTCCAGAGGCTCCGGATTACAAAGCTCGGTTCCGATTGAGAAGCCCACGGGGTGTACCAATTCGTATCGGCCATTACTAAGGTGCAGGAGGGAAAAAAGAAGAAGACTGATGGGTTCGAAACAGGGACTGCCATCCCGTGGTCTCATCGAAGTTGCTCTGCACCAATAGGGAATCTCTTTCCCAATTAGGTTAGATTAGTCCGTGCTGTCCACACTGCAAACTGCCCAGCCGCGCGCCAGTGATCATGCTCCGGTCGTTGGAGAAGGGTTCACAAAAAAAGTGAAATCATACAAGGGGCCCATTTGCCGCGATTCGAGTTTTCCAGATTAGCCGAATTTTCCGACTCGATGTTAGATATGATGTTGGGGGTGGCAATCTTCTTTGACCTCGGGGCATGAAGTCTAGGGACAACGGCTAGTGAAAAGAGGTGTCTGGCTGCTCTTAGTGAAGTCGTTCACGTCCCGAGGTAGCTGAATATTTTTCTAAATTGAAAAAAAAAAGGGCTGCCGAATCCAAACACAAGAGTATCATTCTCTTCCCAACTTCAGAACGTTTACAAGTTCCAACGCATTGTCAAGATGTTGGCCAACGGCACCAACCATCAGCCCTCCCCATTATCCCCGTCGACCATTCATATCACTACACATAATACTTTAGGCCAGGCGACACTTCACAGCTCAGAGAAACCCCAATGGACAGCCTTCAAGGAGCTGAAATATGCTTCCGCGTTACTGTACACGACAACAGCGATGCCGCCCAACCTGAACGACGACGCAGACATCAAGAGTCACCAAGAGGTAATTTCAGGAGGAAAAGTCGCCCCTGCCGTCTTGCCCAGAGGCACCGTCTGTCGTTTCGTGGATTTTGAGCCCAACAGCAAGGGATTCATGCACCGGACCCAGAGCCTCGACTATGGCATCGTCATGGAAGGCGAAGTGGTGTTGGAACTCGACGACGGCAGTGAAACGCACATGACGCGTGGAGACGTCGCCATCCAACGAGGCACCATGCACGCGTGGAGCAACCCCAGTCCGACCGAGTGGGCGAGGATCCTGTTCGTCCTGCAAGACTGTCAGCCACTTTTGGTGAACGGGAAGAGATTCAAGGAGGACCTGGGCGCGGCAAATGGACATGTGCCTGAGAGTGCCAACGATAGAGAGTGAAACTGGGTTAACGCACGGCAGCGCAAAAGACAAAATACGGAACGCCCAGGAGAGCTCATTAAGACGTTGACATTGGCCTTCGATGCCAAAGTTATTATTTTTGTCAGTTGTAGAAGAGGACTCGGTACTACATGAAGACAGCTTCTCAAATTGTTCCTGTTTGAGAAGTCTTCGAGCAAACCCCCATCGTCGCTCGCCGTTTAGCTACTACCGACTTTGGACAATCGGTCTTCGGCTCAAGTGGTCACTTTATCATTTTTGCTGTTCCTACTCGTGCTTGAAACAGAGTGATAGCTCGTGCCCACAGACCGAAATAGTCTCGCCCTAGAAGATAGACCATGCCTCCCTTGATTGAGAACCGACATGATGATCAAGAAGACCACTTAATTTGCAGTGACAACTAAAGAATCAAGACCTCGTGTGGCAACTGACTCTCATATGCAAAGGCAAATTTGGTTTGTTGATAGCACTGGGAGACTTCGAACACGGCCCTTTTTTTGACTTGCTTATCTGTTTGCTATAGAAGTATTCTACGAACATAGGCTGGGAATCTTGCCAAGTCCATGGCTCCCCAAGACCGTTGCGCGGGCTAGCAAGATCTCCAGGTGTAGCAGCTGGACTCTGCTCACACTTCGGCCTTATCGGAGCTTCCAACCTTTGGCTTGCGTATGGTTTTATTGACGTAGTTTGTGAGGAAAGCGTCGACGTCCGTGATGAAGAATGCCGAGACCAATCCAATGCCCGTGAAGGCTAGTGTTGCCAGATACACAATCTTGAAAGCATGGGCATATGCCAGTTTCGTGGCAAGTGCAACGGCATCAAGGACTCCATCGGTCATTCTCGGCACTTCTTCCAAGGCTGCTGCAGTGCCATTGGTGATAGCCATGAAAAGATCTGGGATACTGCTGGCCGGCAGACCCGCGCTCAAGACAGCGGGAACGATCTCCTGCGGCAGGAAGGCCGTCAGTCTGTTGCTGTAGATAGCCAGGTAGATGCTGACTGCACACAGTGAGTTAGATCAATTGACACCTTGCTTTTTGAAAGACGGGAGCTTACCCGCTACAGTTCCGAAAGTCAGTCTGGTAGATCCAAAGAAGCCTTGGGCAACACCAATATCGTTTGGTGGAGCCACAAGTCCGGTGACGACAATAGTTACCATCTCGATCCATCCAACTGCAAGACCGGCCAGCACTGTGAAGGCAATGCCCATGTTTTCTGTTTTGTGCGTCACTGCAGCCATCGCAGTGCCAAAGACAGCGGTCATCAAACTCGCAACTACCATTTGCCACTTCAAATATCCCACGGCTCTGAATATAGGTGCAAAAATGAGCTCGCCCGCTGCCAATGCAATCCCTGTAGTGCAGGATAGCAAGCCGATGGTTACTTCGTTCGAAGTAAAAAGCACACTGATTTGGATGGGCCAAAATACATTTAGGGCCAGCCAGACCATCTGCATGGTAGAGCCGACAAAGATACAGGCGGTGATGTTTGGGATCTTGAAGAGCCTGACTGGTAGCAATGGTTGTTTCAGTGGCATGTACGTTTCATAGATACCAAATGCCACCAAGGTGACGGTCCCAACGATGAGTGAGCCGAGAACATGTGCACTTTGCCAGGCATAAGTCCCTTGGGCCCACGTGAAACCCATGAGGACCAAGATCAAGCCGCCAAAATATAGCAGCAGACCCTGGACAACAGTCAGCACAGCACAGGTATAAGCTCTGCTTCGAACGAAAGAGCAGACTCGAAGCTCTTGCGAAGATGGCAATCACTCACCCCGTAGTCTAACGCCTTCACCTCTTGCCACTTGGTCAACTCACTGTTGATCATATGGAAGTTCGGCGGAAAGTAACAGGTGGCAAAGAGGACCACTGACGCTCCTGACACCGCAACATTGAGCCAGTAGACTCCTCGCCAGCCAACCGCAGTTTGTGCGATCATGGTCCTCGCAATAGCGGGGCCAAACCCCAGCGTAGGCAGGACTGCCAGCGTTATTGCAGCCTGACCCCAGGGTCGGTGTTTGTTCGGTAGCAGTTCATGTATGACAACAGGATAGAGCAGCCCTGCGGCACCACCAATGCCAGCAAGGACGCTACCGCCGATGAGAACGTTGATGCTATTGCCCGTGGCGCAGATGATGGAACCAATCACTCCAAATGTTTGGCCTCCCACAAGGAAATACCGTCTACCTAGAATATCCGAAAGACGGGCAAAGAACAAATGCAGCACTCCAGTGAAAAGCGTGTATACCAATGAGACCAGATAGATGTTTGGAGAAGGTCCGATGTCAACATTCATGACTGAGAGTATGCTGACCGGCATCGCGTAGCCGATGTAGATGCTGTTTGCCAGAAGAAATGAAGCCAGGATCGAACCTAGTAGTCTAGGCGAGGCCCAGTAACCTCGCAGGGTTGTTGCATCTTGACCCAGGTCGTTGCGGTGCAGTGAATCTTTCGAGTCGACTTTCTCTAGATGCTCGAGTGCATGGTGTTCAGCTTCTTTCTTCATGTCAGAACCAGCTATAGCATCTACCATGTTGGGCGACAGCTTCGCAGGGTATGCGAGAACAGTTTGAATGAGTGGCAGTAGCGAAATCTTTGGTGGTAGTAGACGAGCGTATATGCAGGAGACAGGGAAATCATATAGTCATTGGGAGGTAACGAGCGTGCGGTGCCACTCTCAGTGCATTGCACTTATGGTTGACTCCTTTTGCTCCATCCTACGCAGCTGGTCTGGCGGCGAACTCAGGTATCAATCTTCCAACCAAAATTGTGGCTGTTCCAACTTCCAAGCCATAATCTTCCCCATGGGGTGACAATTTCTGTTGGACAATAAGTCTGTGGCCCAGATCGAGTTCGCTTCGGGAAACGATGGGGCGATTTTCCGTACGGATTGATTTGCCGTTAAAGTGACAAGACGTTTGGAACCTACTGTAACAGGTCCTTAGAATTCCTGCTACCTGTGCGAGCGGTAGTTTCGGTGCCTGGGACTTAGCAGACCCGGGTGTGTCTATTAGACACTGGACGGAAGATGCCATCGACTGATTCATTCCTAGTGTTACGGCGGCTCAAACCGCATAAATATACTTTAGAAACGAACAGGACACCAAATACTGAGACAAAGCTGAGGAGCATCAAAACAATAAACCAGTAATCAATCACGATGGATTCTTGGTTACCAGTCCCCATCGATTCAGACTTTTCGCTACAGAATCTACCCTATGGAGTTTTCAGCACAGACACTGACCCAACTCCCCGCATTGGCGTTGCGGTGGGAGATCATGTGCTCGATTTGAAAGTGTTAACTCGAGAACAAGTTTTCAAAGACATCAACTTTGACGACTCGACTCTGCAAGAAAAGACCCTCAATGCATACGCCGGGCTTGGGCAGCATGTGCACAGCCAGATTCGAAAGAAGTTGCAAGAGCTGCTGAGAGACAATACCCAGCTGGGCCACGTATTGCGCGACAACCATGATCTCCGGCAAAAGTGCCTGGTCTCAATACAAAGCGCTATTATGCACCTACCTGTCGCCGTCGGCGATTTCACAGATTTCTTTGTTGGCCTCCATCATGCCAATAACGTGGGTAGTGCGCAGACTCCAATCCTGATGCAGTGTTGCTGACAGGGTGCCCAGTGTGCAGAATTTCTCAAACCTGGAGCAGATATCACGCAGGTATTACCAAGCTTCTGGGACATTCCATCCGGCTTCCATGGGCGTTCATCCTCAGTCGTGGTCTCTGGTACCCCTATCCACAGACCAAAAGGTCAATATCGTGAGGGTGGGAAGGCAGTGTCCGGCACCAGCCGAAACCTCGATTTCGAAGTCGAGTTTGGCGTGGTAATTGGACAACCCAATCAAATGGGGGAAGCCGTTCCGGTTGATCAAGCCGAAGGCCATATCTTCGGATTTGTTTTGTTGAACGACTGGTCCGCGCGGGACTTTCAAAAGTGGGAGCCCAGTGCGCCGTTCACCTGCAAGAATTTTGGCACGTCAATATCACCTTGGATCGTCCCATTCGAGGCACTGGAGCCTTTCCGGGTCTCCCCAATCAAGGTGGATGTAAGTCAATTGGTCCACGAGAAGTTTTGACAACATATGACTGACCTTTCACAGCGTCCGCTTCCTGATTACTTGATGCAGAAAGAGACCAAATCCATCTTCGAGGTTCCTATTCGAGCAATACTAGAAGGTGAGCAACATGCTCCTGCAATGACTAGGAGGACTGCTAATGAGGTGCTTTTCAGTTGACCATACTAGGTATGCGGTGGCGGAATGCAATACCAAGTTTATGGTCTTCTCTTTTGCCCAGATGATTGCTCACCACACCCGTGGCGGCTGTCCATTGCGACCGGGCGACATTATGGGCACGGGGACAATGTCTGGACCTACCAAAGCAGAAGAAGGATGTTTCCTTGAGCTTTCTCGATACGGAGAACAGCCCTATGAAATGAGCGCAGAAGGGTCGTCTGGAGAACGGATTCGCCGAACCTATCTCGAAGACGGCGATATAGTTGAATTTGCCGCACAGATACGGACGAAAGACGGCCTTGGGAACGTGGGTTTTGGGATATGCCGTGGCGAGGTGCTACCGGCGAATTGATGTTTGGGGTGCCGAGATGAAATATCCCGGACAAAGCCCTTGAACCTCACACAGACAGTTCTCGTGGTGCATGCGAGCATGTCTAAGCTAAACTCCCGCCTCGCGTATACGTACCATCTGTCCGTAACAGCCGAAAACCTAAGTAGATAGCTTACAATATTTACGCAAATAGCTCGACCTCGGGGAGAGTTGGGTCGGTGCCGGTTCCTGTATTGTTTTCGTTGTCTGTCAATAATTTATTAGCACGATTACAGCATGATCATTCTAGGGAAACATACTTAAAAAGACTGTTGATCGGAACAGTCGGAGGAGGGTTTCGTCGTTCAGATCACGGCGTCTCAGTGCCAGAGTCGATGAGACTTTGGGCTGCGACTATCTGACAACGTTTTCCAGGCTCCTTGGGATAAATATTCTCTATAGTAAAACAATCCTTCAAATGACCGATGCTTCCTCGTGTTCAGCCAGTGGAAGTTTTGCAATATATTGGGCAATGTGCACTGGTTAAGTTCTTTAAATGTGCGGATAAGATCCATATCCTGAATGAAGGCCCTCGAGTAAGGGTTGTCGTGTCTATGATGTAGATTGGAGTCCATTCCAAAGACGGGCTTTCTTTTCTGTGGAAGTGGTGATAGAAGATGTTCCGCAGAGCAAATAAGAGAGGACTGGTCCAAGACACCAAATTATCGTGAACATTGGCTTGGCCTTTCCGGCGGACATGTTCTTGTATACGTAGCAACTTTTCCGTGGCAGGTCCGTCAGGCTATTCGAATATGTCTCGATCGGCTGTATCTCTTCCGAGCCTAGCATCTTTAGATCTATCCACGCCCCGTCCGTAACGACATCTAACAGGGGAATGAAATTCTGAAAAGATATCGACCGACTGCGCAAAAATTTGCTCGCAGCGATTCATACTTCCTCGAGCCGGCCGTCATATCGATAAGATCCTTGAGGACCTTGACCAAAAGGATGTAAAGGCAGAAGGATCTACTGATTTGGGGTATCTCGCTTAACTGAGAGTTTAGGGCTGGTGCAATGGGGAGATTCGTGCTGATTTGACTTGCTCTGATTACGAACCAACGACCCGTATACTGTAGCAAAGTATACTAAAGGGGTAGGGCCTGGTGATAACAATGCACCGAACCCCCTGTTGTAGTCACAGCTGGATAGATCGTTCTCCACACGATATCAGACTGCAATTATCCGCCGGATAATGAGTGTGTTTGATATTGTCGAGCGAGCATTACCTGTACCAAGTAGACTGATAGAGTACCAATAGAGACCTAAAGAGACAGTTCAGCAGGCGCAAAGGAAGGCGCCTTACCCGGTCGGGCTAAACGAAGCCGTGACGCTAACATCGAAAACGTTATCCTAGCGTCGCTGCTTTTGCCGACCCTCTGTTCTCACTCAGCTTGCATAAGGCGGCATCACCTTAGTCCCGATGGAGGCCGAGCAGATTTCCGAACTCTTGGCAGTTGGACAAGAAGTGAGAGCCCCCTTTTTCTCCAGATTAAACGATAGCAAATATAGCAAGTAGGTACGAGTTACCCTTTTACAGAGTGCTCTACTTGTAAGTACTTGGAGGTTCATCAGTAGTACAGAGAACTGCTACTTGTAAGGTATGACGCCCGTTCGCTCAGTTGGTGGGTAATCAATTTCATTACGAATCGGGGTAGGTCAGCACTCTGGTTCGTTCCCGTACTTGGATTGGTAGCGAGTACCGAGTACGCTGAGAATGATGTTGTAATATCCAGCGTGTTGTCTGCTGACTCCAATGCGTGCAGAGAAATCAGAGACATAGTCAGGTGAGAGTGGATGAAGAGGAAAGTGGGATTATCGATAGGAGTAATTTCCAACATCTCGTGATTTCTAGACTCTAGACGAGGAGCGAGTGTAGCGATTGGGCGATTGCACCATTGCCAATGGCCATTTGGGAGACCACCAGGGGTCACACCCCCCTTTGGGGTCGGGGTCTTAGGGGGCATAGGGGCTGAGGCTTGGGGGGTTGCCACCCTCAGCACCTCACTCCTCACGCCATCACTGGCCCTGTTGGTTAAACTTTGGCACTGGGTGGCTCGGCGTCGCTGCCCCCCTGATTCCCTGATTGCTGATGCAATGCTGCAATGAGATCGCGATGGGCGCAGTTGGCGCAGTTAACCTCATATGAAAACACCGCCATCCCCTCCCACCCAAATCCTGTCCCTATTACTACATCTTCTTCTGCTGGCCCATTTGGTCAATTTGTCACTGTCTCGCGTTGCACCTGCAACGTTCACATTCGTTTTCTTTCTTGTCTCCTTTCGTTCGCGTTCCTCTTCTTAATTGACCGTTGGCCCGACCTCTCCCCATCTCACCCACACCGATCTAAACCTCTAGGATTTGCGGCATCAGGCCTGCGTCGCGACCATGGGCCTCAACAACCACTATCGCTCCGTTTCCACCAACGACAACGATGAATCCTTCCCACTGGCGAGCGAAAAGGTTCAAACCAGAGCCGGCTGGGGCAAGCAGTCCCTCTGCCTTTCCGTCGCGACGGGCACGCTTTTCATCGCCATCCTTGTCGCCATCTTTTCATTGATTTCGTCTGTATTTGTCTCCCACACCTCTCCATCCACATCCGATTCCCTCTCGACGTCAACCACCAGCGCAGTCGCTGTGGTCGCCAGCACCTCCGTCGCCGCTACACCCACCCCTCTCATCGGGGACGACTCGATAAAGACCACCGAGGATTCTGGTGACTCAACCTCGTCGCAGGATGAAATCCAAAACTGCGGGTATACACCCCAAGAAGCCCGAGACCGCGGCTGCGTCTTCGACGTCATGATGCAACTCTGGACTCCCGCTGCCTGTTTTGACGAAGTCCTCTCAAACCGCTTCCTCGAAGTTGGCAACTGGACCTGGTACGCTGATCCTTCGGCGAGCCACGCCTACACTTTGGAGGAGATGAGAAAGGGCGAACACGATGCGGTATACGTCGCTCAAGACTATCACATTACCCACTGTATCTACGCCTGGGAGAAGCTGGTCCGGTCAATGAGGAATCAAGAGCCGCTCATCACGGAGTTGATCTCGTATGATCATGTTATCCACTGCCGGCACAAAACCCTTCAAAGAGCCGACGGAGGCAGCTCCATTCGTGGTGTCAGAGCACCTACCGGATATACCCAATGCGCACCATATGACACTTGGAAAGACCATCTACCTCCAAACGAGCACTCCTCGACAGAGTGAAGTGAAATATATAATGTCCTCGACAATCCTTGAAACAAGCGTTTTGCAGTTGGATTCAAGTTTTTGTTCAAGCTCACAAAGGCAAAATGATTCTCGATCCTCAATGCTTGGAAAATGGGCAGTTCCCGGAAGCTGGAAGACATGGGCTCCGAACAAGGCCTTGAGTGGTTCTAGATCTTCACGACTATCTCAATACATTCGAGTTTCAGCAGGTCGCACTCGGAGATGGTGCTATCATCCGAGCTTCGAGCCAAGGCGAATTTCCTACCACATCTCTCGGCATTCCGATGTGTTTCCAGACTCTAGATCTTGGTGGAGGAAATTGCGTAATTCGAATGACCACGGAGACCAGTAGGAAGACTGGGATTAGTAAAGAGTTACGACATCCAGCGCCTATTTCGCAATGGAGGGAACCGCATCACTCGAAGCCATGGGTTTAAAGGCTGCCAATAATAGAGGATGATACACATGACTTTTTCCATTCAACCCGCAAATATATTGTCCTTTGACCACCATATTACATACAGTGCATTCGTCTCCATCTAGTTCTCTCGATTTCTTGGGCCGATTCCTAAACATTTTCGTCTCGATCGACACCTAAAGGCTCCTGGGTAAAATCTATGCTCGACGTGTGGAGAGATGGATTGAATTATTGGCGCAGAGCACTCCAACTATGCCATGACACGATGCTCATCTGTAACACCTTCCATTCCTAGTAGCTATTGATGATCTTGATCAACCTTGGGTAATGCCCACCGGCCCTAAGCGCTCGGCACCGTCAATCGTTAACTCAAAAACCCTCTGTGCTCACTGCTGGCCCGCGAGCTTGGTTGCTTCAACGAACGACAGTCTGGCTCAAGTTTAGCGATGATAACGACAACAGAAGTCTAGAACAACGGCCGTGCATGGTGCACGAGTTCCGCCATCCCTTTGTCGTCATATCCGATTGGCCCGAGTTCTCAGCGATTGCATCAGGCTGGACGATCGAGAAGGAGATTACTATGGGGGTCCAGACGCTGCTCACCCCCGCGCAGGGTTTCTGGTTCTCGTTTCTGGCTTGCGTCGAGACCAGCCGAGACTGGGCTTGACAGCGCCAGAATTTTGACCTTTGCGCGAAATCAATCCATCTCAAGGCGTGCACACTCAGCTCTGGGACGGGACGGAGGCTTTAAAGGAAGGATCTCGCTGTCGCCTTCGCTCGGGATGGACGTTGGTATGCAATTATGCTCTCTTGCAGCTGATGGCTCCGGCACGGAGAACACCTTCTCTCAGATGGAGGAAGCTTTTGGGCTTGGTTGTCACATTCTGGTTTGACTCTCCCAAATTCATTCAGCGCGGAGGATGAGTGAGTCCACGGAGCCGGTCCGTGATGGCGTGGACGAGTTCGTGGTGGATCCCATCCGCGTCTCTCTCCTCGCCACCATCGACGACGAGAACACTGCCTACAAAGACCCGAACAAGACGGATGGCTATTCTCTCTTCGAAGCCAGGACCATCGACATATGGGAGAAAGTCGGCCGGGGCGTGCAGGTTGTGGATCGAAGCTACCCGGTGTCATGACGACTTCCCCCGGACCTGTTCGAGGCATATCATCCCTCGATTCCCCCACGTGGAAGCCGTCTAGCTCTTCGCCTCCTGTGCACGCGGCCGGCATTGGGGGTGAATCAGACGGCCAAGCACGACGACACGGGACCCCCGGGCGATCGACAGATCAATTATCTGCCCTTCCTCGCTGAGGACGTGCAGGAGCTGGTCCATCAGTGGGATCTCAATCGCAAATACACCTGGATGAGGCCGAACGCGCGAGAAGTGGGAAATTTTCAGCGCAAGACGGTCTGGAGCTTTGATGTCGAGCCTCCTAGGGCGCTCCGAATGGGTATGTGACCGTTTATGTACCCAAGAATCAGAAACCGATGGCCACTCCTTTTCTTTTTCAGCACAGGCTCGCAAACGGGTACAAAGAAAAAGGGCCAAACGGAACTGAATGCGTGTCCAGGACTGATCATCCACTTCCCCTTCGTTCTCCGTCCGGCGCGGCGAGCAAAAATACCTGACCGAGACGAAGGGCGGGTGCCGCGCCCCCAACAGCATCGCGCCCATCGCTCAAGTCGTCGACATACAACCCACGGCGCGACGACTCGTTCCTGTGGTCGTTTGCCACGTCTCACTCCCTGCGCGACGGCAAGACCCGGTGCCTCCTCGACGGTCTCACGGACTGGGCCATCAGCGACGTCTCGCGCCGTCTCCTGAAAGCAAGCCAGCAATGGGACGTGCACCCGCTGCACGCGCCCGTCATCCCGCTCGGCATCTTCTTCGACCACGCTGCCTGGGAGGTCAACCGGCTGTGCGCCGAGGTGGGCCACTTTGAGTCCCTGTCGCGCGCCGCGCAGATCGGCTCGCTCGAGCACTTTGCCAACATCACCACGCAGCTGCAGTACGTGCATCGGAACCTGGACTTTTTGCGCTCGCTGGCGAAGTTCCTGCTCGAGACGATGGAGTTCCTCGAGCAGAAGATCTTCCTGCGCGAGTGGGACCGCCGCCGCAACAAAGGAGGTGGCACCAAGGGAGGAGGTAGAGGAGGCGACGATACCTTCCCCTCGTACCGCACCTACGTCTACCAGACCAACCCGCACATGGAGGAGAAGTTGATGAACATCTCGCATTTGATCGAGCGCAACCGCTCCACGTGCCAGTATCTGCAGGCGAGGACGAGAGATGCTCTGGATTTTGTGAGCAATTTTTCTTGCTTCCTGTTCCCCTGAACCAGCTTTTGTTCCCCTTTAGTCGAGCCCTGTTTGCTCTCCCGTTTCTCACTCCCCTTTTCCCGACTTCACATGTCATGACGTGGGCCAGCTCACCAAGAACCCTAAATACCATCTGTCCATTCACATATATACCACCACCATCACCACCACCACCACCAGGTGACTGACATACTCCATTGGTACTGGGGGGATTGCACAGATCAAAGGCAAAATCTCCCTCTGCGACAATGAATCAGGCCGCGAGGACGCCGACTCCAACAAGACCATGTCATTCTTACAAATGGCGTTTCTGCCCGCGACCTTCGTCGCCGCCATCGTGTCCATGAACTTCTTCGGCCTGACCACCTCCCCGCCGCGGGTTAGCGGCTACGGCTGGATCTTCTGGGTGATCAGCCTCGGACTCACGGCACTCGTGCTCGGGTTGTATTTCTTCTGGCGGTGGAGGGGCAGAGTCAAAGCCCAAGAAGAGCAAGCCGAGGCGCGGAGGTGTGAGATGGTGCTCAGCTTTGAGGAGGGAGGCGGAGGGGGAGGGGAGAGTGGGTATGGCACTGGGACTGGGACGGCGAGTGAGGATGAGGAGGGAGGGGGGAGGAGGAAGAAGCGGAGGAGGCGAAGAAGCAGAAGGGGAAGGGAAGGACGATGCCTAGTGAGGACAGCGCAGACGATGGTGAGGCCGCCCCTACCACCGTGCAGATGAAGAAAAAGGAGAAGCCCGAGTTGGTCATGTAGTTGGTTGGCCATGCACTCGTTGGGATCAATGGCCCCTTCGCCTGGGGTGACGAAGGCAGAGGTCATAGAAGAGTCATGGCCATAACCGCAAACCAGCCACATAGCCACATAGCTGCGTAGCTACATGGCTCACGGGATGTGTGTATCTGTACCCACAACAATGGAGAAAGGGATTTTTTTTTTGGCGCTCAGACCAGATCCAAGATCCAGGTACTCTGGCCGCCGAGGCGGAGGCCGGCCATTCCGCGATTCAGGGCCTCGGCGGGCTTCTGTCCCAGCCAGACAGCCTCGCTCCGGTCCATGCCCTCCTGCACGTCCCAGCCCTCGGTGCCCACCGCGTAGATGACCCGGCCGTGGAGGTGCTTCTCGCGCATGCCCCTCTCGTGGCCCTTCTCGTACCATATACCCCCTGTTCCTCCGCCTCCGCCGTCGGCAGTGCCGCTTGAGGTCTCCCTTGTGGCGCCGTTGATGTCCGGTGTCGATGCGTTAGTCGCGACCACGCCCACCACGACCCTCGCGATGTCTTCGGGCCTGTCCGGCGGGAGCTGCACGGACATGCTGCGGCCTCCGGATTGCGCGACGGCACGCGGGACCATGACGTTCGTGACAACGGCGTTGATGCGGACGCCGTCGCGCTCAGGATCCGGGTCAATGTTAGTCCAGAGACTTCGCACCAGCCCGAGAATCGAGTGCTGTGTCACTTGGTAGATGGGCAGCTGCGGGGTTTCCTTGAAAGCTGCCACAGAAGTAAGGAAGGTCAAACTGCGGTCGTTCAAGCCTGGCGAGGCAGGAGGTTCGGGCTGGGGTCTCGAATAAGGATTTACAAATGCCTTCTTGCTGCTGCTGCTCTTGGACTTGGGCGAATATTTCAGATAGGCCAATGCAATCCGCGCAAACCGGATGCTCGCAGTGACGATGTTTGCTAAACCCGCGGGTTCGGTGGCCACTTCGTCGTAAGCCATCTTGGCCGTCTTGTTTATGCCGGGGCGGTCTTCAAACCAGCCCTTTTCACCTGCGCCCACCGTGCATGCTTGACCGCCATCGTCGCCCACGCCGAAGATGGCATGGTCCACGCGACCGTACATGGTGATGGCCAGCTTGAAGAGCTCCAGCATGTCAGAGTACTTGGTCATGTCGCATTTGTTAAAGTGGACTACGTGTGGTGGGCCTAGAGAGGAGATGAATTTGCGAGCCTGGTCGCTATTCGTGTCGCCAAAAATCACCCGACACCCAGCCGCGTGGAAATGGCGTATTAACGACTGGCCTGTCTGACTGGCACCGTTAGTGAGAACGATGACTTTGCCGTGGAATGATTCCTTCGGAAGCGGCGGTGGTGTAAAACGGCACGGATTGGAACTAAAAACTTGAGGGACCGAAGACATAGACTGAGATTTCTTGGGTCGTTGTGACGTGAATGGATTTACCGGAGTGACAGTCGATGAGACGGATGGTTTGAGGGAGGCTGGCGAAGTCGTCGCTGAGGGAGCGGAGGTTTGAGTTTGATTCGAGGCGGATGATGGTGCACTAGAGGAAGGTGTTTTGGGGGATGATAATGGAGATGCTGCTTGTTCAGTTGATGGCACTGAATTGACCATGACGGTGGGAGTGGTTGCGGCGTCCGAAGGGGCAACTTGAGAAACGCGTTTCTTCTTTTTGGGGGCCGGGGTTAGGACGTCTTGCTTGGGCGGTTCTTCTGGTGCAGAGGGAGGTTGCTGTTCTTTTTGCTTGACTGGAGTCAGATCAGCCTCGAGCTCGAAAGTGTGAGGAGTTTTGGTGACGGTCTTTCTTCGGCGAGTGGGTTTGCTTGAGTCGTCAGGGGCAGCGTTGTCGCCAGCGCCAGGAACCTCCAATCGCTGGATCGAAGGGGAAGGCGACCCGGATTCTTCTTCCTTGGTGGCAGTAGACATGATGCTTCGTATGGGCGACGTGGTGTCGGGGGTTCTGGAAGGCTTGGAGATCTGGCGAGAAATGCCTTCACCAGTCAGGGTGGAAGAAGCCTCGCTGGCCCATGGATTTGGCGAAACGGATTCACTCGACTGGGAGGTGACATCAAGCTGCGAAGCCACGTCGAACTCGCCGCCTGAGCTAGTCTTGGTGGGCTTCTTGCGCAGAGTGTCTTTCATGGCTGAAGCCAGACGTTGTCGACGAGCGGACAGCAGACAACGAGCTGCCTGGGCACAGGAATCAGAATCCGCATTGGGAGTGTTCAAATCAGGGCCACAATTAGGATTCAGGACCCAGATGCCGTAGCGTGGCAACGGATAGTGGGGGGTTTGGCGGTTTGGTGGTGGTTGTGGCAATTGATAGCGACCCGGGCGTCGATCAGCTGGAGGAACTGAGACGGAGATGCGAAGACTGGGCCATTTTGAGGCCGAGAGACTTGTGTCTACACGACCTGATCAAGGATGACAGAGCAGCCAAGGAGAGAGATGAGAAATGGACAACGTGGTCGTGATGGTACAGAACTGCTGTGGCATTGAAGCGGGAAGCGAGAAACAGGCTAATTGGGGGAAGGAAGGAAAGGACGAAGCCTGGTGCCTGAAGGGGCTACTAGGCCTCGCTAGCCACAGATGAATGACACCCACCATAGTCACCAAGTCACCTAATCCTACCGTAGGTAATGCCTGGCCGCTTGTTGCGATTTAGTAATTGCTGAGAAGACGCTGAGAAGGATTTCCTTCTTTACCTCTTTTGTATTTCTATTCGCTGGAAAAGGAGGATATTTAGTTCCAGTGTTGTTTTATGCTTTATTGAACCCTCGCCTATATCTATCTACCTAACTCGGTACTTTTGTACATCCAGCTCCTTTCACCTCCATCTCACCTTCACCTCACCCTTAGATACGGTCGATTCGTACGGGGTGCGCTACCGAATGCTAATTAGTACTAATATGTCCCGCTTCCACGTGCCGAGCGTCGAATACGAGATCCTCGTCCTCCCTACTTGCTATTCTCCTCCCTTCCGTCCTCCTCCACGTGGATTACCGAGTCCTAATTACTAGTTACTAGCATAAACGCAACATACTCAATCGTCAATGGCTCAATGTGCATGATAAATCGGAATCGTCCATCTCCGCGTGGACAGACCCGATCCAACCCCTCTAGCTGCGTGTGTGCCTGCTAGCTCGTCCGCGATGGAGGCGCCGATAGAGTCATGACGACTCGAACTTTTGTTCTCTCTCTTTTTCATTGTTGGTTTCATGTCTTTCGCTTTTCTTGAACGGGGGTGCTAAAGCTCTTATACCGCTGATTTGCAGGATCTCACAACTGCTTGATATTAAAGAGCCAAGGTGACTTTATGCCTGCGACAGACAGAGAAAAGAACAAGAGAGAGAGACAGAGTACCGGAACGATACCGCGATCAAGATCCCGATTCCATCTCCAACCCCATCTTGCAGACGGAAACCTGAATCTTGGTTAGCTAGGTAGCAAACCACAATGGGCGAAGACGCAACTACTGCTGCAACCGCCTCCCTCTCGTCTTCCCGGCCAACCTACACGCGCGACCAACTCGGCACGTACGTCTCGAAATGCATCGCACCGCCATCGGCCGACTACACGCTCGCGACACTCGAGTCCGAAATCAAGGCGGATCCCCTTGCGGCGCTGGCGACCCTGCAGCTGCGCCAGATGGCCTTTAATCCGTGGGGGAACATCGCGCTGCATTATTCGTGGCACCGCACCCTGTCCCTCGACCATGAAGCGCTGTACCACAAGCTCGTCGAGCGCCGGTTGGGCGGCTACTGCATGGAAAACAACGCCTTCTTCAGCGCCATCCTCAGGTCCCTGGGCTATAGCCTTTATGTCACCGGTGCACGCGTCAGTCTCGCCTTGAGTGGTGATTCGGTTGATCCAGATGGTTTTGCAGGATGGTACGTATCCAGTTATTAATTTTTCCTTTGGTCTCGAGGATGACGAAACCGTTACTGACGTAACGGTGTCAACAGGCAGCACGAAGTCATCATCGTCATCATTGAAAATCAGAAATATCTGGTATGTCCTTCATTGCCCCCCTAGTCCAGCAAACATGCCCGACGAATCTTGCATGAAAACTCTTCCCAACACCTCTATTTAGGTCGATGTCGGTTTTGGCAGCACCTCCCCGGTCCACCCCATCCCGCTGGACCACAGTAGCCCGAAGCCTTACGACGCCGTCCCCGGCGCCGAGGTCCGCCTCGTTTACCGGCCCATTGCCTCAAACACAGATCAATCCCAGAAGCTCTGGGTCCTCGAAACTCGCAACAAGACCCACTCGAAGTGGCAAGGCGGCTACTGCTTTGCCGAGCTAGAATGGCTGCCTATGGACTTCGAGATCATCAACTACCGCACGAGCCAGGACCCGGCAAGCTGGTTCACCCACCGGCTAGTCCTAGTGCGGACTCTTGTGGACGAGGAAACGAGGACGAAAGCCACGGGGACTGTCATCCTGTCGGGGACTGTCTTTGAGAGGAGGCTGGGGGAAGGCCCTAAGGAAATTGTCTTGAATGCCATGTCGGAGAAAGACCGCGTCCAAGGGCTGAAGACATGGTTCGGCGTCGAACTCAACCCGGACGAGCAGAGGGGCATTGCTGGCACGGCTGCCGAGATCAAGAAGCCGTTTAGTGTTTAGGGATCCTATGACTCTCAGAGCTTTGGGACAGCTGGCTGCGGGGACTCGCAGAACCCCAACCCACAGCACGGTTTTCTCCTGAACTCAGAGACACGGGGATGGGTGCACTCTTCGGACAAGTGTCTCGGATTCAAACGAACGACTCACATCCTGGTTGTTGAGGTAAGTACTTGGGCGAGATGCGAGACGAAAGCAGATGGGGAGAGGGTCGGAACGCAGGTTGACTTCCCAGGCCGTAGAGCAGAGTCGGATCGCTCTGCTCGGGTAAATATCGACTTTTTTACACAGTGCCTATGTCAGCTCGGAGGGTGGGGGTTTGGGCAATCAAGACACGCAACTGCCTTTGATGCCATGATTTTTGGAGGCCAATGTCAACGCCGGTCGAAGGGGGTCGGGTGGGAAATAGGACAACACAGGCAGGCGGCGTAATCACTGAGTACCTAGATATATCGTCAGACAAGATAGACGAGGGCAAACCAGAATGATCTGCCTTTTGTCAATCAAATGCTGCAAGCCCATCGAACTTACTCTGGATCTTTGACGCTCCGACTCGGCTCAGTGGAACCTGAAATCTTGAACCCTATGTTTAGCTATCACTCGCACCCAGCTCGGAACTGCCCGCATAACTGAGCTGATCAAGATCAAGATGACTAACCAAGATGACCATTGCACGTCCCCGGGACTTCGCGATAAAAAAGAAAGGGGGGGAACCCTTTTTTTGCGAACACGAGAGGCCCAAGGTCGACTCGGCTCAGCCACCGAATCCAATCCGTTACCTGCAATGTCTCTGCAGAGAATTGTTCGTGCTGCGGAAACCCGGGGGACAGTGTCTCAGTCACGATGCTGCGCCACGAGATTTGGATTATCAGGTGGATAAAACAGCACCCTTTTCCCTCAACAGCTTCAGGTAGAGATCCACCATATTGGTGGCCGGAAGATCCGGTAGCCGCCTTGGTTTAGCCCTGATTGCCTAGGTGAGACGAGGCAACGGGCTTGGGGATGCAGAAGGAAGAATCTTTTGCTGTTGGCAGAAGAATCATGGCCTGTCTTCTCACAGAATGGATTCGGGGCACTGACGATCAGAGGACTGGTGAATGTAACAACCCAACGGTTTGGCTTGTCGATGCCACACCTCACCTTCATCCTATGAAATTTCTGCACAACGCACCTGAGCACATAACGCCGATCCACTTTAACCAGACATAATTGCTTCGGTCGTGGCTGTGCGACGAGTGCCCAATATCAATATGCTCCAGTGCTCTGAACCTTCTTGAACACCAGTCGCTTGGTTAGTCGACATCTGGCGGCAGCGTTATGACGCTCGAATATCCGATAGTGTCCCCCTTTAATGTAGGAGCGTCAATTATCGAGGGTACAAAGCCCAAACGGCGGGACTGAGGGTGGTAAATGTGGAAGTGCGCCAGGGGCGGTCCGTGATAGACGGATTTGTAGCTCGGGCGTGGACGCAGAATCAAGGAGTCTGTTTTCCACCTGTATGGAGTATTGCTTTCACCTCCATAGACGCTCCTTCCAACCTTTACCTACGCGCCCCATGCCTGCACGGGAAAGTGGAGACGGCGTCCCGACCCAGCGAGGCTGTGCTGTGGAATGTGTGATCAGGAGGATGCCACTCCACATATAAACGAGCGAGTCGACAGTCAACGTGACGTGATTTCTTGGAAGATTGTGTCTGGAAGTTAGCCTGAACCCGCTTTACATTGGCTCTCCCAACCAGATTGCAACAGTATCCTGACACAAGCGGTTCCATACCTACCTACAGTATGATAGCCGACTATTTTAGGGCAAGGCAGATTTCTCTCGGAGAGTTTCAAAAACACAGGGGGGGGGGGTAGTTTGTCAGATCAAATAGATCTCTGACCCTACATGACACTGAGAATGACGCCCAGTAATCGCCCAATCTCCTCGACCGTCCACCGTTCAACACTCCGTACCCGTCCTGACACCTTGGGACACACGTTTCATTCAGCGCCAAATCCGCGTATTTTAGGGCACATCAGAAGTTGGTGGCAGATCTGTGGCCAGCCGATGTAGGCTAAAGGATGAATTCTTTGCATTCCGTGGAAAGCATGTACCAATGGGTATGGAGTAGCTTGTGATCAAAAGTGTGCGCTGAATGATTGAGAGCTCGTAATGGCGTCATGGGCTCGCTTCGCTGTGTGAGAGAGATCCCTCATGAAGATCATTCAAAGAAGTCTCTTTACCAATTACCTAGGTACTCATTTTCCTGCTCCGCTCCGACCAGCAGTACCTAGGTATTTAGAAGAAAGACGCACTATGATATTAACTACTGGGTACCTCCTAGCGCTTCGGATGATAGTAGTTCCGGTTGGGCCTTGCTTCCTCTCATTACCTAACTTGTAGCTTACCAGCGCTAAATACCTACTGAGTACCTACCTAGCTACCTAGTAGGTAGGAAAATACTCGGTGAATTCAGGCAAAATAATTCATCCTCATCGTATTCGTATCAGGAACACCTACTCTCAGAGGACTGAGC